TAAAAACCTAGATTTTTGTCAGCTTCAAAGATTTATGTATGATATGTTGTCCCTTACATCGTTTTGTTTGAGCTGGGATGAAGTAAAATGTTTGTCTTTTGGATTCAAACATGTATGAACAATGTGTTATGGAAATGTTATGTTACGGTTTCAAGCATTTTGTTTATGAGTGTTTCCAGACTTTTGTATTTTTGTGATCCCATTTCTATCTTCAGATGTCAAGTAGGCAGCAGAAATGATTTCTTGTAAAGCATACAGTTTCTATCTTCAGATTTCTTGTTGCAGTGTGAACTACGAATAGAAAACTATACACATGCTAAATAATGGAAAATCTAACCAAAGTCTTCCTAAGCATACACTTCATAAGCATATACTTTATAAAAATCACCTCACATCAAACGTACCCAACTATTGCAATTTATAATAGTGATAGTCACTGCAAGTTGACTAAAATGGTCTATAAAAAGAGATTAAAATGGACGGTAAATATTCATTCAAAAGAGATGAAAATAGTCATACATGATAAATAACATTACAACCTCGGAAATAGTTAAACTTACATTAACTCCTACCATCCTTCGAATTTCGACAAGTCGTGAACCGTTGGCCATGGTAGATTATTTGTCATACACGATACATAAAATTAAAATGCTCCATGAAACAAACTTACATAAACTCTCACCTACTCAATACACCGCCATTTTTGAGTTTTTTTGTCGTCTCCTATTTTTTGTAAGGAGACGACGAAGATGCAGTAGAACTGTTTGGAATATCATAAATGCTGTCATTGTTCTTGTCCCAATCGTGGGACGCCTAGTGGTTTTCGAACTTCTTCATAAAAACAGAAGTGGAAGCTAGGTTGGTTGGTGGTTTTTCTGGGTCGGCAACAGACGAAACACTTGTGGAGTCAGTATTGTACCAAGCAAGTTCGTAGTGAAAACAGTTATTTGTATTGTCAGAGTCGTTTTCAGTAGCCAGATAGGGATTGCCGTCTTTGTCTTCATCATCATTTTCTCCTTCAACTTCATCGTCAGAAAGCTCAATCACTTGCTTAGGTTGCACAAGGGCGTTGATGTCACCATTTCCAAACAAATAATGCATCTCTTCGAGAGCGGACTCGCCCTCCTTCATGTATGCCATGGCTAGCTTTTCTTTCTACAATATTTACCAAAATATCATTTGTGAAAAAAAAATTCGAAATTTTTATGTTAATAACAATCAACAATCTATGTTTACCTCACAAAAATATAAAATAACTTACTCGAATAAGATACTCCCAGGTACTTTCGCTCGCCTCAACCTTATTGGATCCATATGTGAACACAACCCCGCTTTGTTGTGTTATCCAGGTGAAAACTTCATAGCGTTTACGAAGTTTATGTAACTTTCCTTTGCAATAGTTAAAATCAAAGCTCTTACCAAATTGTGCGTTCACGAGTCCTTGTGCACTCAGTATAGCATGATAGTTTGGACGGCCAACCTTGAAATTTCCCGCAGCCGCTTGGTCAACCAACTCTTGGACGAACACTCCTTCAATTGGCCTAGTCCATTCCCCAGAATAAAATACCTTAGTTTGTGCAACTGCAGCAGAGAAAATATTTTTGGGAGCCATTTACGTGCAACGACCTATTTTAGAAAACTAGTTTTTTGAATTCTACAATTTTATGTTGTTTTTTCCTTCGTATTCAAAATGCTTCTATCTGCATGAAAATATATAATGGTACTGCGTGCCTCTAATCCATATTTCATGCATAGCATAAGTGCTCTGTTCAAAGTTTCCTTCACCTTTTTCTTTTGTCAGCAAGGGAATATATTCCATATACTAAAAAATGGAAGAATCCAATGGTAACCTACGAGTTTGATAGTGACTAATCGAGGAGTTTGTATTGTAGTGTATCTCTTGAAAACCAAGGAGTCTGATGCAAAGTTATCTCACCAAACATGTAAGAGATATTTTTTCATCACAGGAGTCTATTTGTCTTTTTTCCTTGTAGGAGAGAATATATTCTTTTTTATTGACAAGTGAATGATTGATGAAGGACAATATGATAGAGAATCAGAATATATTCGTACTATGAAAAAAGTTGTTTCAACAAAGCATTCTTTTGGGGAAAAAGCCTGAATTTTGTAACTGACAGAAAGGAAGACCTCTTCAAAGAATAGTATAAAGATGATGCACGCCACATAGTGTGTCCCACGTGGTCAGCCAGGGAGAGGTATACTTATAATTGTTCATATACCAACGGCCAAGAGATAGGTCTTTCTCAAAGAACATTAAAATTTCCTTCTTCTCCTTCCAACAAAACAACAGGTCGCTCCAAAAATGTCTCGGGATAGTGGTAGAAAGAGCTCGTCGGAAAAAGCATCGCATAGCATCGACAAACACGATGCTCCGACAAGAAGGTGTTTTCATGGCTTGGAGGCTCAGTTTTTAACGTCTAACACCGAAAAAAAATCCGTGTAGGAGGTTCTATAGATGCAGACTTCGAAACGTAAGTATAGCCTTCTATGTGCTTTTTTTAAGAAGATGAAATAGAACCTCAATTTGCTCACACCTTTCAATTTCTTTCATCATAATGATTACTTAATTATATTTGGCATAAGCCAGGTAGGCTATATGATCGCATCAGTAGCTCTTACGGTTGGTGTTGTTAGTAGTAAGCTTGTTAGTTAGGGAGTTCAAATTCTTGTCTATATGTGGATTTTTTTTTTAGTCTAAGGGCTTTTTGTTGCATATTCAGATTATGAGCTATCTTAGAGTCAGTTTGGGTATTTATCAGCCTTTGTTGCATTGTCTTTCTTCAGTGGATATTTTCAGATTATGAGCTATCTTAGAGTCAGTTTTGGGTATTTATCAGCCTTTGTTGCATTGTCAGTCTATATGTGGATATTTTCGAGCATCAAATTGAGGTTAAACTAAGATTGTCACTATCATATTGTTTTGTGATTTGAGTTGTTATATAGTTAGAGCCCTTCGCTGAAGAAATTTTTTGTAACTCCGATCTTGGTTCTATTATTGTAGACGGACGACTGTGCGTTCTTTGAATGGTTCGACGACGAGATGCATCCTTTTCAAAAAATCATGCTACTTACACTTGAGATCTTCTAAGTTAATGTTGGAAGAAGAAGCTAAAAACAAGGATGCTTTGTTGGGATAATGTTGTTGGTTCATGTCTAATTTGACGCTAATTGGCAGCCAAGAGGGAGACACATTCGTCACGAAATTAGGAGACTTTTGGCAGCCTGATCATGTGTTTATCAATGAAGAAGAATCTTAGATATCAGTCTATTAATGTGTGGGGGAAGAAAAAGGTTTAATGTGTTTAATCATCTTCAAGTTTACATAATTTTTATTTGGCCACCCAGGTTTCTTCAGTGGAAAATGATAAATTGGAGTTTTGTTACTATACCTTTCTTCACACAAAATGTAACATGTTTTTTCAGTTTTAAAACTGATGGCAGAATTCATGCTATTGTTTTTTAAAATAAATTCAAATTATTTATCACATAACAATGCTCCCATTGTCTTTCCTGGAACATTCTCCCATGTCTGTACAAACACAATTTCCAAATACAAATAAAATTACCATCCATTCTCATATATAGCAAAATGAACAAACTGTTATCATTACAAAATAAGGTCATTGTAGCAACCCACATTCATCACATACTAATTCAAAACCTTACAATCCTATTACATTTTCCATACAACAGTTGTGGTCAAAGAACAAGAAGATTAAGTCAAACTATTATCTAAAATAATCTAGCAGGGAGGGACAAAATAGGAGCTGCATTCTTTGTCTTGAACAATAAGTCTGCCGTTTCAAAATGTTTCATCCCATAGGTTCTGAAAAACCTTCATTCCATAGTTTCCTGAAAATTTTAAAAAAGTTAAATGAAAAATAAACCAAAGCTCTGTTAACATTAGGATGAATAAAGAATAAAACATGCTGAAGCAATTTAGGATCAAACCGACCTTTCTGATTGATTGCCAATACACTCCATCGACAGAGACTTTGTTAGACTTTCGGTTGTGATATACGCCTGGGATTTGTTTCCACTTCATAAACGAATTGTATTGGCTCCGGAAATTGATGACCTTTTGTTTTACCATTGGGATAGAAAACTTTTTCTAAACTTTTCTATCAGCAGCCCAGTGATAAGCCACAAACAAGTATCAAAGGTTGTAATGGAACTTACAGGAATATTAAGAGCAGCATGTTCAAGTTGTTCAACGAGGAAGTTCTCTTCGTTTTCATTCCAACCGTCAGTACTGAAGAGCTTTGCAATGTCATCATTTCGAGTATGTGGTTTCATTCCTGCGAATGTAGGCATACAAAAGTGAAGTTGAATCATGAGTTTCCCATCACAACAATTCCACAGTATGAGTCTTACTAATCCAAAGCCTTTTTGCACATGTTAAATGAAAAAGAGAAAGGTTTGCAACTTTTCCCACCAAGGTGCAATATTATAAACTTCACATCAATTGACAGAAGAGAGTGACAAACATCTCCAATAAAAAAATGCAAGAACGATTGAAAAAGCGCAAGTACAGAGAAGTAACAAAGCCCATTTCATCATATGCAAGATGTCATACAATCCAAGTAGAAATCATATATAGTGTTCACACAATTGGTTCATGATAACTTCATTCACATATTGATTTCACCAATTGTTTAGATTAGGATTCACTGACCCTAGGCGCTCATACCTCGAAAATTAGAATAAGTCTTGTATACACACATATAACATAATGAACTTTAATTGTGAATGTGCAGAACAGGCAAAGGAACTAGAAAATGGGTAAAGTCCCAATTAAGTGAACAAGATGAACAAATTAACTTATCGCAACCACAATTTATTTGGTAGAAATTAAATTCTACTCCGACAAGAAAGGTAAGTCGATTAACCCTAACCTTATGTNGAAGCCCGATGTTGAGATATCTGACTAGGGATCGTCTCCTTCGACTGTAATTGAAGGTTCCTCCGCCGAGAAGCCGATGGGCTATAAATCAAGCTTTATTGACGCAATTCTGCTCGTCTTCTTCCTCAGGTTCTCTTCTTCTAGTCGGCGTACATTTTTTGTCTCTTTGGTGTCAAAATGTGAAATAGAGAAATATTGAAAGAGATATCTGCTGAAAAGATGACCAACCAAACAACTTATTCACCTTTATTAGGCCTATATCTAAAGGGAAATTTATATATCTATGTGTGTTATAAGACTTATTTTTAAAAATACGATTCATAAAATCTTTTATCAGTTAAGGACTTTGTGAAAATATATTTTCATCTTTACGGATCTTATCATCCGTTCCAAAGTCGCCGTCAATAAGATATCCGAAACTGACGCAATTACACTCGCAATCAATTACCAAATATCATGTTCATGTGAATCATTCTTTTCTGTAATTTCTCCCAAATCTCTATGCAAGTTTCATCTTCTTGCGGCGGTTGCACGGCGGCGGGCCGAACTCCAGACTCTTGTTGATCCCCCGACCGTCGAACTTAACCAATGTCGAGATTTTTTCGTTGCACTCATTAAGGAAACCTTCTCCGAGAGGGCCCCTGTTTAACGAGGCGGTGATTATGGTCACGAGGTTAGTTTTTTTTTTAGTTTATGTTACCTTTATTTATGTTTTTAGGTCCACTGAAAATGTAAGATTGTTGTTTCTTGATTAGCTGATGCTAAAGTTTGATTCTTGGGCTTGAATAAGGTTTTTGTGTTGAGGTGTTATGAGCTTGGGTTATAAAAAGTTGAAGATGTGAGTTTATTGTGGGTTGTTGGTTCGATTTTGGTTGAATTAAGATGCGAAGTTCTTAATTCTTGATGTTACAGTAGATTTCGTTCGTCTTGTTGTTGAGGAAAAATTGTTTATTTTCAGGAATATGTGGCCTCGAGTGATATAGCAGCATTAAGACGTCTGGAAACGGCACAAGAAGATTCAGAAGATGATGGTTTTTACAGAGGGTCGAACATTCTGCAGATACTATGTTGAAAACAGCGAAATATACGGAAGATAAACTGGAAATAAACAACTTCAGAACAGTTGGAGTTGTGGTCGATGGATGCATTAATACTAATATTGTGGTAGGCGAAACGTTCAGAGATAAAAGTGTTCATGTGTCTTAATGCTTCAATTAAAGCGTGGACGCTGATTTGATGTTTGGTTTGAGAAAGCAAATCTTTGTCAGATAAAATCAATATATTCGTCAATGGCTTGTGTGTGATAATATTTTGTTTATCTACCGTTTTTCAGTATAACTTATTATGCTTATGTGTGATCTGACTTTTTTTTGTTTATTTAACGTTTATGTTCTGTATATAAAAATGACGGGGATAAGTAAACAAATACAAGTAATATACTTCAGTTTACAAAAGTATGTATCATGTTTCAAGATATACGTAATATACACGCAATATATATTGTTGTTTATACATTAGCAAACATATCCTTTAGGATATAATTTGTTAAACATTCGACTCAAGAACCTCATAGGCGAGTGGTTGCGTCCCTGGGCTTGGGCTAATGGAGGCTGGCGGAGGCCGGTGGTCGCACGACTTGGACTGATGGACGTTCGGCTATTCTGTTTATGTACTGTTTATATACCGTCTATATACCGTTTATGTATATACAGTTAGCTTCTTGTTAGCGTGATGCCCAAATTTACCGTCTCAGATTCATGGCTGATTACGGCGACACGACTGAAGAATCGTTGCATCCCTGGGCTTGGGCTAATGGAGGCTGGCGGAGGCCGGTGGTCGCGCGACCTGGACCGGTGGATGTTCGGCTATTCTATTTATGTACCGTTTATATACCGTTTATGTATATAAACTTAGCTTCTTCTGAGCGTGATGCCCAAATTTACTTGTGGATGTTCGGTTATTCTGTTTACGTACCTTTATATATAACTTTCTGTTACATTTTATATTGTAATGATATTGTTGAAGTTATATAACCTTTCCTTAATGGTTGTTTACTTATTGCTTACTTTTAGTAGAATGTTGCAGAATAAATAATATGTTTATATGTTGTTTATCTTGTGTGCATATAAATGTATATATGTACAATGAACGGTATGTGTGCTTATCTACCCGGATGTTTACTACACGGTGTAATATACATTAGTTAAACGCGTATGTCTCTATTTTGTGTTTACAACCCGGTATAATATACTTTAGGTAAACACATTACTTAAAGTATGTGTGTGTAAGTCTCTTAAAAACTTAAGATAAAATTACAATACAGGATGGAATAAATGGTCCGAAAAGTGTATTTTGATAGGTTAACCTCGTGCAAATCAAATATCCAAAAGCAATAGAACCAATATTCCTTCACTGAAGTTCACCAGAAAAAAGGGAGAAAAAAAAACAAAAAATGCAACAAAACATCATGCCAATGTACCAACAAAAATCCAACAAAAACTTCCCTGACAAATGACTTCATAGGCACAAAAACATTCCCAAAATCCAAACAAGATGAATTCCACAATTAACAAACAAGTATGAATTATAATTTGATTCACAAAATATTATTGCAACACATCTAATCACTATAATAGAGAGGAGGACCGTCAAGCTCGTCGGACGCTATCAGTCGGTATTCTGTGAACGGCTAATGAATTTTCAGCGAGAGGGTAGCAATAGTAGAACGACGGCGGGTTGGACGCCGCGAAATTTTGACGAGGCGGCGGTTGTGAAAGGTGGATGCAACAGCGGAGGCACGCTGTCATCACAGGGAGATCGGGCCGCGAGCGGAGATCGAAAAAGTCGGAGTGTACGTCGCCGACAGAGATTCTTCATCACCATGGAAAGACGGTCACCGCGGAAAGTGACCAGGCGGCGGCAGAAGATGAGTCGCTGCCGTCGACGATGAAGGAACTCGGCGGGACTTCTCAACCGACGGCCAAGAGTAATCCGGCGAAGACAAAACAATTGAGGCCGATTTCCTCGTCAATCTTCATGGGGCCTTCAGAATTTGATAGATTACGAGCGTTTGCCTGAGAGATTGAGAGAAAATTGAAGGAGAGAAAAGCCCTCAATTGAAAAGCTCCAACCTGGTTTGCCTGAGAGAGAAAAAAAAACTCACGGGAGAGTATCCTTTCTTTTTGGGGAGGTTAATTGTGTGTAGTTGGTTGTTCTAAAAACTGAAGATAATATTTGCCTTAATTAACTATAAGATAGTGATTCCCAATTAACGGATAATCAGGCCACAAAATAACTGCTCAGTTTATTTTAATTATTAAAAAAATCGTACTTCTGATGATAAGTTTGTGGGATCGTATATTTGATACTATTTGTCTAAGCAATGATAAAGGGAGTAAATTTCTCATATCTAAATGTCCAAAAACCCAACCAAACACCTTAAACGTGTGGATAATTTCACACAAAAACCACGGCCCTAAACTAAAGTATTATATCAAGCCCAATCAAAATACCCAACCAAACTGACCCTAAATGTTTTGGTTTGTCTTGTTTTGCAATCTTGATGTTGGCAAAGAAATGTTTAGGTTTGTTCATGTTTTGCACGTCCGACATCTTTATGTTCTATTGATAGGTTGATGTTGGCAGCGAATCTCAGTGAACGGACTTCTTAGAGGATATTGAGTATATAATTTCTTCTGGACCAATGGTCCATCTTTCTATTCTTGTAGGTGATTGACATGGTTGCACATTCTTCGGAATTCGAAATATTGTCCTCAGAGACGAAGAACAAAATGAGCTAGAAATGTTGGCTCGCAAATGTCCTCTGGAAATCAAGAGTGGTCCGTCAAATAAACATGGAAAAGTGTCGATACTTATCCAGGTCAATGGTTATTACTTCCTAGAAAGTTGGCTGTGTTAGTTTTAAGGTAAAGTCATCCTTGTCTTACGTTTATGTATTTAATTTGTCTTACAGATGTACGTATCCAGGGGCTCAATTGATACCTTTTCACTAATTTCTGATGCATCATATATTAGTTCAAGCTTGGCTCGTATTATGAGAGCCTTGTTTGAGATTTGTTTGCGGAGAGGGTGGAGTGAGATGTCATCTTTTATGCTATAGTACTGCAAGGCCATGGATCGTGAAATTTGGCCCCACCAACATCCACTCAGAGAGTTTGATAGAGAAATTTCAGCAGAAGTTCGGAATAAAACTTTTTTCCATTTTGGGGCATTTTAAGTCATATATTTCTAAAATAGCCATATGTTCTGAATTATTTTTCAGATACTGAGGAAGCTTGAAGAAAGAGGAGTGGACTTAGATCGTCTATATGAGATGGAGGCAAAAGAAATTGGATCGTTAATTCGCTATGCACCTGGAGGAAAGGTATCTCTTCTATTTCGCTGCTGTTATAGAACTTGGAAAAAAATTCCTTTCTCTGTGATATGCTACACACAATGTGGCCTGATTTCTTCTCAATTGAAGGTGGTCAAGCAATACATTGGATATTTTCCAATGGTACAGGTAGCTACAGTAAGCCCAATCACTAGAACTGTTTTAAAGGTACCGGCAATGTGGAAAACTCTCTCTCTCTCTCTCTCTCGATTTTTTTCCTTTTAGATGTTAAATATTTTGTAAGTCTAATTCTCGCTAAGAAACATCATGGATTTGTCTTAGGTTGATTTGACTATTACACCTGAGTTCGTCTGGAAGGAACGGTTTCATGGTACTGTGCAGTGCTGGTGGATTTTAGTAGAGGTGCTTCCTTGCCAGTTTGTTATTTATATTTTGCAAGATTGTGAAGTTGAAAGGTCCTTTTCTGTAATTTCTATGGATTGGCAGTATTCTGATGGCTACTAGGTTTTAGGCATTTTGAAAGCTATTTATTGTGAAGTGACAAGAAAATAAGGTCAGACTTCCTTGATGAATCCTCAAGTGCACTAAACCTGATAGTTGAGAGATGCTAGTTTTGGGAGGGAAGAAAATTGACGCTATTTAAAATATGAATCTTCTGGACCTTAAATAGTTAGTCTCCTTTGCTTTGAGTTTGCAAATACTTTGATGTTGATATTTTTAGTTTTGCAAAATATACCGATTGGCCTTTGCCAACAGAAAATTACAAATTATTCTAGTTAATCATAATTCCATGTTCTTATGTAGACATTGTAGAGGTTTGAATGGATGCCAAGAAACTAAAAGGATTAATGCCAAGATCATATTTCAAATTGTCACAAGACATTATTAGAATGATTTATTTGTTTGTACACCATGAGTTATATGCACATCAATATGTTATATGCACTGTGTTCACTAGGGATGTGGTGAGATACTGAATAGAAATATGAAGGCTGTGATTGCTGGGCCTCCATTTTCATTCATTTTTAATTGTACTATGGATGATGTGAAATTGTTCCTTACTTCCTTTGACAGTTGCAGTCTGAATATAGGATGTGTCGTGTCATTCTTTTATTGGGAGAGACATGAATTTGTAATTGTGATAATTGTAACTTACAATGTTTGCATTTGGTAAAGTGGTGATTGGATGAAAAAATTATGAATAAGCTTAAGAACATTACTTGGAAGTATATTTATTTGCTAAGTACGTCCATATTACTATGTTAACAATAAATATTTGTTTTTCTTCAAATACATAAATAGTGAAACTGTTTTTAACACACAAGTATATATACAAATAAGCTCGTATATATACGTCGTGTATTTATGCAAAAAACTATTATAATTTAATCTTGTTGGTTAATACGTGATTCTTTTTTAAAATTGAGTAGGTTCAGCATACACTATAATTGTGTCTAGAGATATATACTTGAACAATTTCAGGCACAAATCATTTTGGTATCTCTAGAATCCCTAGTATAATAGGTGAGTAATGAGAAATGTTATGTACACATTGATGCTTGTTACATAAGCTTATTACTCTACAAATGATGCAAAAAGTACTGTTCGACTGCTGGCCACTTATAAACACGGTGATGTTACAGCTTTTTCAGATACTCTGTGTGCTTTAATGGCTGATCATTTACTATATATTTAGGATTCTGAGAACAATCATATATACCACTCGGAGCTTTTTGTACTAACAAAGAAGATGGCTAGAGGGGAGCCTCAGAAGCTATCTTTCACTGTTCCTATATTCGAGCCACATCCTCCTCAGTATTTCATTCGTGCAATCTCAGATTCATGGTTGCATGCGGAGTCTTTCTACACTATATCTTTCCAGAACCTTGCGCTTCCAGAGGTGGTTTATTGATTGACTTCCTTTAGTAACTAGTGTATCCATAACATGTCATACACCGGATCAGCCAGAGACCTATCTGCTGGACCAGCCACTGTTGAGAAACGACTTGTTGTTTCTTACTTGTCCATGAGTTTAAATTACCTTCTACAAAGATACAACATCCTGATGACCTTCTATTTACAGCCTGCATAGTCATCGTCAGAATATGATTCAATCAACCCGGTAAAATACTGCTTTAATGACATATTGCACAAAGAACAATACTCTTCCAGGAGCCCCCTTTTAGTTAGCACAACATTTCCTCATTAGTAGGAGCGTACATAAAGTGAGTAGCAACAGATGGTGCATAAATGATGTCAGGAGATAACCCTTCTTTCCTACAAGTGTACGCTACCACCGGATCCTGGAATAGTGTCTGCTTCTTTTATAAATTGTTTATTAGGGGTCATGTGGGTAACGCAAGGATCTTTCTAAGTTTGATCAGAAATTATAAATACATGAGTTTTGATGTGTCTTTCTCATTGAAAATATTAGTCTGCATAAAACATAATCTTGAACATTTCTATTTGGAGGATGGAAAAAAATAAATAAGCAAACAGCCAGTCTTGGCAGTTCATAAATAAAGTTTTGTTGTCGTTTCCTGGCATTTGCACTATGAATGTATTAAAGTTTCCTTTTTCTCTCCTGTAGTTTAGTTGAGGAGCTTCATGATAATGCCTTTAGAGCTCAGATTGTCAGTTTTTTTTCCCTATATTTGAGCAGATATTATGATGCCACCATGTCCATATGAGAGTAGTTTATTTTTAAGAGAAATCCCATTCTTGAAGAGATTGAGAAGTTTTGGTTCCCAGCCTACTTTAAGTTCAATGACCAAATTAAAGTTGTATTTTGATATCAATGTTTCTAGTAGACGTCGGTTCTAAAAATTGCTGGACAACATTTATCCATTTTGGCTTGCTCAGTGTGAGCAACAATGCTCTTGGAAGACTATAATTATTTTATTACTGATGAACAAACCCACTTATGCTGCTATATGTACTCACTCTCCTACCAAACCAGTTCTTATATTTGTTTCATCACGTCGTCAGACCAGGCTTACTGCATTGGAACTCATTCAGGTCAGAATCAATCACAATATTTTTTTATTCTTTTTTTTTTTTAAATCTCATTGTAGCCTGGTTGCTTATATTTTGTTGTTATAACTAAAGTATGCAGCTTCAGATGAGCACCCTAGACAATTCCTTGCTATACCTGAAGATTCATTACAGATGATACTTTCCCAAGTAACTGATCAAAATTTCAGACACACGCTGCAGTTTGGCATCGGGTTGCACCATGCAGGATTGAACGATAAGGATCGATCTCTTGTTGAGGAACTTTTTGCAAACAACAAGATTCAGGCAATTAATTTATACAACTTTAGGATTGGAATATAATTTTTCCAAGAACTCCTTTCTAAATATATAGTTATATACCTGTTTATGATATCATATTCTTTTCATGCATCTTTTCAGACGTTGGTTTGCACCAGTACGTTAGCATGGGGTGTGAACCTTCCAGCTCACTTGGTTATTATAAAGGTCAGTGAAAGTATCTTCTCTGTATATATGACTGGCTGTAATCAGAGCATCTGTATATAGTATGCCTGAACTCATTATTCCTTATCCTTATTGATTTTTTTCCTTATATGGACTTTTGGAATACTTGGCCAGCACAAATTTCCTTAGATACTGAGTGATTGGGAAAACAATGATCAGAAACCCCATTTGACACAGATCCCGATCATTTGTGCATGTCAAATTGTTACATATGTCTTGGAAATTGCTGCAACTTGTCTCCTTTTCTCTTTTATTTTTGGGTTATCCGTAACGATATTCACATGGTCAATTGGTTACTTATGAGGTGCTATGAACTTGATATACGAATTCGTGGAGTTAATGTGATAGCGCCTGATAGGAAAGTTATATTTCTCACAAGTAAAATAAATATTGCAAGTTAAAGTAGCGATGGACCCCTCAGATTTTTCTTTTGATTTTAAGCCTAGATAAAAAATTCGGAAGAAAAAGTGCATGACAAGTACAAGCGAATTACTGCCCTTTTAGTAGTGGAAAGCAATCAAGCACAAAAATTTTTAAACTATCTTACCTTATCTCATTTTCCTGAGCTCTGACATAATTAATGAAAACAAAGGTTCAACAGCTAATGTATAAATTTGTGCACAAACAAGAGATTGCAGCCAGTTGAGGAATGGAGACTGGAGTTCAATTTAACTGTCAACAGAAGGAAGATTGATAAAATATTTGCTAGAAGAGTACTGTAAGTTATTAATTTTCATTGTCCTAACAAGGGAAGTTGGTAACCTGTTTTATGAATTTCACAAGCCTCAACCTTATAAAACTGTTGGTTTATTTTATTTTTATATTTTTGTTACCATGCTAATTACAGAAGTTTTAGTTTGTTATAAGCTATAGAGAGCACTTGATAGAGAAACAAAATAAAGCCTGAAGAATCTGTGTTCTCCAGGTCTTATTCTTTCAGGTTAAATAGCGAAAAGGAAATATTATATACTTAAAATGAGTGAGCGTGTTATGAATAGCAGTGATTTGCATATGTTTATACTATAATGCTTAGAAGCCTCCTGACTAATTTTCCGGCCACTGATTTCACTTGGAAACAGATAAAAGATATATTGCTTGTCGCACTTTGAGGTTAACGAGTCACCTAACATTTTATTTGCCGATCTATACTTGAAATTTGCATTAATTGCACGACACTTTGGTATGTTTTTCATTTTAATTTTTTTCTTCAAATTTATTTGTCATTGTATTCATAAATCATCTCTTATGAACTTTGTGATCAGGGAACAAAGTATTTTGATGCAAGAGCAAAAAGACATGTCGATTTTCCTATTACCGATATTTTACAAATGATGGATCGAGCAGGAAGGCCTCAGTACGATCAGCATGGGAAAGCTATCATTCTCGTTCATGAACCAAAAAAGAGTTTCTACAAAAAGGTCTGATATATTGATTTATTTTTGGTATAACATTACGTGATTTATTTCACATTAAGGGAAAAATCTTTTTACTTCTTTTGGAAGTTTCTCTATGAACCATTTCCAGTTGAAAGCAGTCTCAGAGAACAGTTGCATGATCACTTTAATGCTGAGATCGTTTCTGGAACAATTAGTCATAAAGAGGATGCAATACATTATCTCACCTGGACATATTTATTCCGAAGATTGGTATGTTATTTCATGTTTTGAAATTTGAACATGATATATTGTGTCCTGTCATGTGACTACGGCATACTGGACAAAGCATGTCACTATACCCTGCACAATAGCTGGCACGAATATAAAGTTCTGTAGCTAATGACTCACTGTTGTCAATGAAATAGATTCACTTCCTGTGTTGTATAGTTTTAGGAAAACACAGGCCTGGTAACATAGGTATATGCTTAATAGTATCATCTACTTTTTTTGGTACAAGTGGTAACTTTTGACAACTTGGTGGCCCTATAGAATGTCAAATTATGGGAAATGCTGAAACAGAAACGTACTCAATTTCTGTGTTACAAGTGTTACATTTTTCTCAGAATCTAAATTTTTATATATGTATAATATCTTTCTTCTGTTCATGTTGACTCACTCGTGCCAGGTTATGTCTATCTGTTAAAAGATTGACCTTTTGTAAATGTAACCGCCTTCATGCGGATGTCTTGAATCTTATATATGTTCAACTCAATTATGAACGTTTAAATGTATGAAAATAGTTGAAAATTAGAGATGTTATCTTTTGTTGCCCACAAGTTGTTCTTGTGCCAGGTGGTTAATCCAGCTTATTATGGCTTAGAAGACAGATTTCCTGGAACTCTGAGTTCTTACTTGTCAAGGTGAACTTTTTATTGAAGTGCTTATAATGGAATTCATTTTCCTCTGTTGAAAATGCTGTATCTAAGTAGTAGATCTTTTATCAGCTTAGCAGTAAGCAAATTTGAGGATCTTGAAGACAGTGGTTGCGTTAAAATTGATGAGGGCAGGGTGGAGCCAATGATGTTGGGTTCAGTAGCATCACAGTATTATCTAAATTACACTACTTTGTCGATGTTTGCTTCAAATATTGAAGCAAGCACATCACTTGAACTTAGTTGCCTCTCATGACACCAAATGTGAATTTGTTGCTTTTTATATTTAATATAAAGTCATTCTTGTACTATCTTTCTGTTTTAGGTTTTCCTCCACGTATTATCTGGTGCTTCTGAATATGATGAGCTTCCCGTGTGGCACAATGAAGTAAGTTGGTTGCATTCTTGATCCCATAAAAGATTTAAAAGTATTCAGTCGACTTATTGTACTACAAATTGCTCGGACAACTAGTCATCACCGTACGCTACATTGTGAAACCGTAGCCGACATTTTTCTGATTTACGTTCATTTGTGTCAACCGTCGTGCCTTTCATTTGTCTTTTTCTTGGTTTCATAGTCATTTGGTAATGCATCTTTACAACATTCCAAAGTAACAGTATGGCAGCTATATCAACCCAAGGAAACTGACTGCAAAGACGTATTTTTTGTTCCTTGAAAGAGTATATGATTTTCTTTATCCTTCAGAAATCACAAAAGATCATGAGTTGTCAAAGTTGGACATTCCATTTATACATGTTCCTTTACGTCTTCTTTTATTGATGTTGTCGTTATTATTCTTTTATTTTCTCTACCTCTGTAGTTTGTGTGTTATACATTTGTTATATTAGTGACGCTTCACATTTATTTGCACCGTAGGAAAACTACAATGCAGAATTATCCAGTAAGGTTCGCTACATGGTTGACAAGAACCTGCTTGATGATCCTCATGTGAAGGCAAATCTTCTTTTTCAGGTTACTGCTACCCTTGTTTTCACCTCATCAATGTCAAGTTCTCTTCAATGAACAATTTAAATATCTAGAACTTTCCAATATGCATATTTGGTTACTTTGACAAGTCACAAACAGTTCTGTCCTTTTACATGTATTTTAATCGGGCTACAGGCACACTTTTCTCGAGTTGAACAACCGATCACCGACTATGTCACTGATTTAAAGTCGGTGCTTGATCAAAGTATCCGTATTATCCAGGCAATGATAGATCTATGTGCTAACAGCGGATGGCTTTCTAGTACGTTTACTTGTATGCATCTTCTGCAAATGGTCGTGCAGGTATTCTCTACATTCCTATCACAATAGATATCTTTTCTTGATTAATTGGTTGTTTGGGACCACTTACGAAAATGAACAGTTTGAATATGGTCCTTTTAATTTGTTATTTCCTGAGAAGTCTCCAGTTTCAATTTCTTTGAAGTCAACTTTTTGGGGGAGTTACTTGTCCGATAACGCAGTCTAAATTTTTCCAGCAAATATTATGGACATGGATTCTTAGGGGACGATTGGAATTTGGTTTTTTTGGTTTTGACTTGACTGGATATATTTTTTACACCTTTTTAACTCAAAATCCAACTTAACTCTCCTACTTTTATAAATATAATCATCATCACACATCACATCAACTTTATTTCATTATTCATCCCCTCACATAATTTTAATTACTCATAATTTTAACTACTCGTCATTTCTAATCACATCTTCCTACTTTTACATCACATCAACTTTAATTATTACATTGTAAATATTATTTAAGTGCAAACTCAAAATTCCACTCAATCATCCAATCAATCAACTTATTCGAAATTAACCCACTTTATCCAATAAAACACAACAAAACCAAAATATTCCACTTCCAATCACCCCCTTACATCCAAATTTCCATTTGTACCTGCACAAGACCAAATACTGCTACCAGAAAACTTGGGGCATTGTTTTGCTGAACCTGCTAGTTTGCATTGTTGCTTTTCTGCATGCACGTACAAATATTCTTGGCTTCTTAAGTTCCTTCGTTTTCTTTTGTTTCTTTTGGCATCATAAAGTTGTAATGTATCTTTGCTGAAACCGTAACTCTCTTATTCCAGATATTCTTTTTGCCATTTACATTTTTCTATTTTGTGATATTGCATTTTTTATCGGGAGCAGAAGTTGAACTTAGGCATTTTAAAGAATTTTTCAATTGCTGATAGCCTGTTGTTGAAGAGCATAAAAGGATTAGGAAATTTGGACTGGGATTGTCCACCTCATTTTGGAAATCCTTCGGGTCACTGGCAGTGGAAAAATAATTCTCGAAGTTGGAGAAATCCTCGGAAGGGGACCTCCGAAGGGGAGACCTCCCGAGGGCCTCAAGACAATGAAAGACGGTAAAAGCTCTAGATTGCTTTTATATCTTGTATATTGAGTATGTATGAAAAGTGTTGTTTCAATTTGTTTTGATGGTTTAGCCGAACTAAATGTTTCTGTTCGGAGATTTCATGGTAGTAAGTTTTTGTTGCAACATAGTAATTGTCATAGGTTGTTCTTCCTTTATCACCGGAAATAGTAAACCTGTATTCTCATAGGGTTGTTCTTCCTCTATTACAGGACGGGTGAGGATCTTGATTCAGAATTACCATCTTCAGAAGAATTGTCGGACAATTGAGTGGATTCCAAGATGACGGATGTTTGTGACCATAAAGCAGGTGTTTCACCTCCCAATGGCGCCGTTGAGGACTTGAATGTGGATTCCGATGGTTGGAAGATTTTGGCTAAGAACAGTAAATTCAGGCCACTTATGCAGCGGCTTCTAGCTAGTTCGGGTGCTCCTGCTTTGGATATAAGTGGCAGTGTATGCGGGAATAAGCGGAAGTCCACTGAGGATCTCCTGACAGTGTGCCCTAGAATCTTGCTATCAGGTAATTTCGCTCCATGTCACTGCATTGTATAATGGTTTTTAATTTTTCTACTTTTCCTTCCTGACCTGTATCATGGATATTTCTTCTCATAAGGTTCAGAAATAATCGAGGAAACATTGGCCAAGGCGCTTTTTTGGTGCGGGACTCCTTCATGTCGATACTGTTTTATTACCCCGCGTAAGATTCCACTTTCTCTAAATTGGACATGTTCATATTGTTCATTCACCATTGTCCCTATTTATATATTTCAGTTCTACTAATATATGACTAAAAAATTCATTTAGGGACCGACGCCGAAAGAAAGCGGTTTAGCGGTGAAAATGGTGGAGCCTCAGCATCTTGACCAGCTTCTACATCCACAGGTACGCGTTTTATGCCAATTTTGAAAATAGTTGCTCTGAATTATTCTGATTCGANTGATTTTTTTTTTTTTTTTTCTAATAAAAGTATCTATTTTTGTTGTAGTTTGTGGATCCATCTGCTTATAAAGAGCAAGTAATAGCGAAAGGCTTGCCGGCATCCCCTGGTGCAGCAGTGGGGCAGGTCGTGTTCAACGCTGAAGATGCTGAGGCATGGCATACACAAGGAAAGACTGTAATCCTTGTAAGATAAGTCTCCATATTTTTGAAAAAGAAAAAAAAAAAAAAGCTGAAAATTTTTGGTGAAATTTTGTGATTTTTTGGAAGGTGAGAACTGAAACAAGTTCAGAAGATGTGGGGGGCGTGCATGCAGCTGTCGGGATCTTGACAGCTAGAGGCGGCATGACTTCCCATGCAGCCGTTGTTGCCCGTGGCTGGGGAAAATGCTGTGTTTCGGGTTGTTCCGAAATACGCGTGAACGACTCGGAGAAGGTCTTATAAATTTACGTATTTTCTTCAGTTTTGTTTGAAATTTACCTAAATGCTGACTAGAACCAGTCGGCAGCTGGTGAGTTGAGAAGTTTGTGTTGACGTATGAATTTTTCTGTTTATATTCAAGTATGTAACATGTCGTAATTACCAATTCTCCATAAATTTGCATAATTTCATTTGAAATTCCAAGAAAAACTAAATCTCCATGTCGGTTGTGATCCTAGCTATTGTGTGAGACCAAAAAAAATAATACTTTCTTGTTCGTTTGTTGTTGGAGGTGTAGATGGTCTTGATTGGGGACAAAGTGGTGAATGGAGGAGATTGGATTTCTCTAAATGGCTCGACTGGTGAAGTGATCGGAATATTGGAGCTGAAGGGATCGGTTTGTGTAGAACGGAGCACATGGTAAGTTTTACGAGCCTTAGCTGACCATCATAGTGTGTACTTCAATGCAAATTTCAATATACCAACACCTAGAAAGATTGATAATATACATTGCACTATTTCCAAAATAACAAGATAGTCCTCTAGATATATCAGAATCCGATCCTAATTCAATGGAATGTTATTGCTATAACTGAACTATTTTGCAAAGCAACCAGTGCTTTGATATTACCATAGAAAATGTCCAAGGCTTACCTCCATTTCTCTGAATGCTAGCTAGTATGAATTTTCGAGGTTTTTATCCAGTTCTTGTGACACCATGGAATCTTCATGTGTGTTAGTTTTTCGCTTCGGATGAGAGGATTAAGGCCGTGAAAAAGATGATAATGGCAGTTACGCCCGAACAGCGAAAGGAAGCTCTGGACTTGTGACTTGTTATTGCCTTATCAACGAGCGGAATTTGAAGGGATTTTCGGTGCAATGGATGGTACTCTTCTTGTCACTACCTTTTTTTTTTTTNTAAAGAACAAGAAATAATTGAAACTCATAGAACAATTACCGTATGTATAATAGTCAAAACAAAACACATAACTAGTCGTTTTCGCTTTTGGACCTTAAATTGCCTTGTAATTAGATAAAGAATTCGATTTCTGCTCCATAAAATGCACGACATGCAAAATAGTCGCGTAAGTACGAAAAACATCAATTTTTTCAGCCAAGTTTCTCCAGATTTCAACCAAAAATTTAAAGATTTTCCATGTACTTACTGAAATAGTTTGCAAACTTCATCTTGTAGATCTAAAATTTAGTTTATATTTTTACACGAATATTTTTTCTTCTTTCCCTCAAGTTATACGACTTAAATTGCGAATTCACCAGATTATGAATGAGACAAAGCCTGAGAGACATTTAATGAAAACCTTTGAGAAACATGAAAACAGGTCTGCCTGTAACAATCAGACTTTTGGACCCTCCACTTCACGAATTCCTTCCGGAAGGCGACATAGAGCAGATTGTTGGGGAACTAACGGTCGATACTGGCATGAGTCAAGAAGAAATTTACTCCCGGATTGAAAAATTGTCTGAGGTGAACCCCATGCTCGGTTTTCGGGGATGCAGGTGAACTTCATGTGTATATGACTTGCAAAAATATACATAGAAAAAAAAAAGAAAAAAAGAAATAGGAATTAACTATTATGTCAAATTTGGCAGGCTCGGGATATCGTACCCCGAGCTTTCGGAAATGCAGGTTCCCGCAATATTTCAAGCGGCCATCTCTTTGAGCAACCAGGGTGCCAAAGTCCACCCGGAGATTATGGTTCCTCTTATTGGAACACATCAGGCATGTTTAGAATCACATCATTTTGTTTCGTATATCCCGATTTTTACTTAAGATGTAAGTATGGCCAGTAATACTTTTAAGGTGGCTTGTTAGCAGGAACTGAGTCATCAGGTGAGTTTGATTCGTGGGGTTGCAGTAAAAGTGTTCTCCGTGATGGTCTCCTCTGTGAGCTACAAAGTGGGCACAATGATCGAGATCCCTAGAGCCGCTCTTGTGGCAGACGAGGTTCGAGAATTTTGTTGTTCTGAGCTAAAACCACATTATGTTTTCTGAATTTGAGTATAATAGTATTTACATTATATTCTAGCTGACTAGAGGTTACAAAGTAAAAAGTAAAAACATGCAGGGTTTACATTGTTAACTGCAAAATTACTACTAGAGTATAGCAATTTTTATAGTGCAATGTGGCAACAGTTTTACCAAATTCTTTTCAATGTTCGTTATAAGTTCCAATTCTGTAATTTTGGTTTCGATATTTCCTCAATTACGGTGTATCAAACCAAAATTAAACTAGGCTGCAGTTTTTTGTATCATTCTTTTTTTGACGCATTTGACACTTTCAAACGGGTTTTTTTTCTAAAGATTGCCAAGGAAGCAAAATTCTTTTCGTTTGGGACGAACGACCTCACGCAAATGACATTTGGATACCGTAGAGACGACGTGGGCAAATTTCTGCCGATTTACTTATCTAAGGGCATTCTCCAGCATGATCCATTTGAGGTAACCTTGGGCATCGATTGTTTTGGAAATTATCATATATCCTAAAAGCACTACTGTAATGATCCTTTTGTTATTTAAAAAATATATGTTCTTGACCAGAAAGGCGTGGGTCAGCTGATTAAGATGACAACCGAAAGAGGACGTGCAGCTAGACCGAGACTAAAGGTCAGTGGTGTTTTTTTTTCTTAATTTCTTTTTTTATTCTATGTGGTGATTTTACCATCAAGTTTAGAACTAATGTGAGTCTTGTTATAAACATGACAGGATAAACGAAATCACGATCGAACATTGGTAGCATTCGCTTGGTGTGTTACCACTATTCACTATTTATTCATTATCCGCCAGTTCTGTTTTAAATGAAATTAAGTAGTGGCTAGCTCATTCTGGTTGATGCATGAAGCTACAGTTTAACTATATACACTATTTAAATGTTTTGAGAGAACTGTGTTGCATTTCATTTTTGAAACTTCAACTTCATATTTTTTATAATAGTATAGAACTGCATTTATTCATTTTTGATGTTTTTTTCATATCAATTTCAGGTTCTGAAGAATAGCATTGATTGCCATCTGGAAACTTTATCCATGAAAGACCTATATTTGATTCATGAATGTAGGTTAATTTTGTTCAACTTAAAAATCCTTAGTCAGTTGTTTCGTGCGCTTCCAGGTTTTTCTAAATGCTTGTTCTATGGGTGATACGCGCTGAAAAAGTTGGCTGGGCTTTAAAGGATTTGGTGGTGCTACCTCTGCACAGGCCAAAATTGTTCACCACAGGGAAACTTACAAAGGTAATTAAATTATTGCGTTAGACAACGTTAGACAATTAGATGTTGAGAGCATGCTTGGATACAAATATATCCGCTCAAAACGAGTTTTTTTTTGTTAACCAGGGTTAATTTTGAAAAATGTGGTATGGTTTGTTGTTAGTAGGATTTTAAGGGCTTGCTTGTTTACGAATTAATTTACTTCCATTTATTTGATACTCAAGTCTAAGACTTAATTGAAACTGATGACAGGATCTTAGAATTTCAGTAGTGTAATTATCGGTTGTTAATGATAACACTGATACTGAACTTCACCAGGTATCCAAATGAACTAAAAACTAAATTATAATGCTTGGAAAAATCAAGAACTTAACGTTTAATCGTTTAATTGATCTATCTGTGCAGATCGACTAGCAAATCCAATATGAGGTAAGTGTGTGTATATGTGTATATGTTTCATATTCTTCATTTTTTGTCCTTATCTACTTATCATTTATCATTTATCATTTATCAGGTAAATAATAACACTTGTTATATGTTTTCATCTTGCAAGTGCATTGGTAATAGTCCGTGATTTTTTTTTTTTCTTTTTCTCTGACAGTTTTCTTTTTCCTTTTTTTCATTGCAAAACGAAAGAAGAGTACTCGGAAATAGTGTTTGACATAGGCAAAATGTTCTCATGAAAGCTGGAGGATAAGTATAAAAAACGAAACCTTTATTAACACCAAAAGTCTTATAATGTGACTCCTTGAGTTGCATCATAGGACCCGGTTGGGTTATGGGTCATGAAACAATGATAGTATTGAATGCAATGGTTTAACAGGTAATGCGGAAGTTTGATAACTGGTATCATTGTTTTATTACCCATAACCCAACCGACTCCTATGATGCAACTCAAGGAGTCATATGATAAGACTTTTGGTGCTAATAAAGGTTTCATTTTTGTTACTTATCCCTCAGCTTTCATGAGAACATTTTGCCTATGACAAACACTATTTCCGAGTACCCTTCTTTCATTTTGCAATGAAAAAAAAAAAAAGAAAACTGTCGGATAAAAAAAAACCCACGGACTATTACCACTGCACTGCAAGATGAAAACATATAACAAATGTTATTATTTAGCTGATAAATGATAAGTAGATAAGGACAAAAAATGAAGAATAGGAAACATATACACACACTTACCTCATATTGGATTTGCTAGTCGATTAGATCAATTAAACGTTAAGTTCTTGATTTTTTCAAGCCATATGATTTAGTCCATTTGGATACCTGGTGAAGTTCTTTTGCATAATTTTAAAAATATATCTCCATCTTGTTTTAACCGCAGTTAAGTCATTTTCAGTATTACCATCTTCAAATTATTTAGTATTAGGGTTATCATTAATAACCGATAATTAAACTACTGAAATTCTAAGATCCTGTCATCAGTTTCAATTAAGTCTTAGACTTGAGTATCAAATAAATGGAAGTAGATTAATTCGTAAACAAACAATTCTTTAAAATCCTACTAACAACAAACCATACCACATTTTTCAAAATTAACCATGGTTATATATAAAAAAAAAACATGTTTTGAGCGGATATATTTGTATCCCAGCATGCTCTAAACATCTAATTGTCTAACGCAATAATTTAATTACCTTTGTAAGTTGCCCTCTGGTGAACAATTTTGGCCTGTGCAGGTAGCACCACCAAATCCTTTAAAGCCTAGCCAACTTTTTCAGCACCTATCACCCACAGAACAAGCATTTAGAAAAACCTGGAAGCGCATGAAACAACTGACTAAGGATTTTTAAGTTGAACAAAATTAACCTACATTCATGAGTCAAATATAGGTGTTTAGTGGATAAAGTTTACATATGGCAATCAATGCCATTCTTCAGAACCTGAAATTGATATGAAAAAAACATAAAAAATGAATAAATGCAGTTCTATACTATTATCAAAAATGAATAAATGCAGTTCCATTTTTGACTGGGCAAAATCTGGGAATGCATCTTGGCTTTGGCAGTCTTGGGCTTCCTACCTTCCTTTGCTGAAACATCAGGTAAATCTTGTCATTAGAAATGGCCAAACCACTAAAATAAATGAGGTGAATTGGGTGCCAGGGGTTAGCTGCAGGAAACCTGAACTGAGAATTGAAGTTGAGGGGAACTTATTCTGGGTGAAAGACTTGCTAAGTGCAGGAGGAATGCAGTGGGATCATACATTAGTCAGAGCTTTGTTCACTGAAGTGGATGCTGATAAAATTCTAGATATCCAAACTCTGAATCCAAGTATGGCTGATAAATGGAACTGCTCTTTCCTCTGCAAAGGGAAGTTTTCTGTGAAGAAAGCCTATTCCAAGCTGCTGTCTGAGAAAATGTGTAGGAACAATGTGGCTGAGAGTAGTGCAATGGCAAGGGGCAACAAGAAAGCTAGAAGAAGATGCTGGGACTTAGCAGTTATGGGGAAGGTGAAGCACTTTATTTGGCAATGTATCTCTAATATCATCCCTGTTAACAGCAACTTGCAGGCTAGAGGACTTGAAGTGGAGGCCATCTGCAGGGTTTGTGGTGAAAAGGAGGAAACTCTGGAACATACTCTATTTCAGTGTAGGAAAGCTAGGGTTGTTTGGCAGCTTTCTCCTGTAACTTGGAACAGAGTTCCCCATGAGAGGATGACTTTTAAGCACTGGTGGTGGTGGGTTAGTACCATGGCTATGAATGACACTTCTGAGGATCGAATTCAGCTTTCCACATATATCTTATGGTGGTTGTGGCGAGCTCGAAACCTATGGGTTTTTGAAGGAGTTTGGCAGGATGAAGTTTGGATCATTAGGGCTGCTTTGAGGGATTGGAGGGACTTCAACCAACACAACAACAGGTGAATGCATAAGTACTTTGTAGATGAGTTAGGTCTTGTGTCAGTGGCTTATCTAGTTGGTACTGTTAGTTATGTCATGGCCTGTAAATCTTTTCAGTTTGTACTGCTTAGGTTGGTTGCAGTGTTCTGAGATTGCTGTATTGTTGTAGTATGTTGGCAGCCTTGTAGGGTTTTAGTTTGATGTATTGGTGATAGGTTGTTTTTGGTCTAGGAAGCTGTGGTGTTTCCTCTCAGTTTACCCAGGATGCGATTTTGTTCTGTATGTACATTAGCCTATTGGGCTTTATTTTGTTCTTTGAATGGAGATTTGATATCGTTGGAAAAAAAAAAAAAAAAAATACTATTATCAAAAATATGAAGTTGAAGTTTCAAAATGAAATGTAACACAGTTCTCTCAAAACATTTAAATAGTGTATATAGTTAAATTGTAGCTTCATGCATCAACCACAATGAGCTAGCCACTACTTAATTTCATTTAAAACAGAACTGGCAGATAATGAATAAATAGTGAATAGTGGTAACACACCAGACGAATGCTGCCAATGTTCGATCGTGATTTCGTTTCATCCTGTCATGTTTATAACAAGACTCGTATTAGTTCTAAACTTGATGGTAAAAGCACCACATAGAATATAAAAAAACAAACACCACTGACCTTTAGGCTCGGTCTAGTTGCACGTCCTCTTTCGGTTGTCATCATAATCAGCTGACCCACGCCTTTCTGGTCAAGAACATATATTTTTTAAATAAAAAAGGATCATTACAGTAGTGCTTTTAGGTTATATGATAATTTCCAAAACAATCGATGCCCAAGGTTACCACAAATGGATCATGCTGGAGGATGCCCTTAGATAAGTAAATCGGCAGAAATTTGCCAACGTCGTCTCTACGGTATCCAAACGTCATTTGCGTGAGGTCGTTCGTCCCGAACGAGTAGAATTCTGCTTCCTTGGCAATCTTTCGAAAAAAACCCGTTTGAAAGTGTCAAATGCGCCAAAAAAGAATGGAAAAAAAAAATGCAGCCTAGTTTACTTTTGGTTTGATACATCGTAATTGAGGAAATATCGAAACCAAAATTATAGAATTGCAACTTATAGAACGGACATTGCAAAGAATTTGGTAAAACTGTTGCCACATTGCACTATAAAAATTGCTATACTCTAGTAGTAATTTTGCAGTTAACAATGTAAACTCTGCATGTTTTTACTTTTTACTTTGTAACCTCTGGTCAGCTAGAATATAATGTAAATACTATTAGTATTCAAATTCAGAAAACATAATGCGGTTTTAGCTCAGAACAACAAAATTCGCGAACCTCGTCTGCCACAAGAGCGGCTCTAGGGATCTCGATCATTGTGCCCACTTTGTAGCTCACAGAGGAGCCCATCTCGGAGAACACTTTTTCTGCAACCCCACGAATCAAACTCACCTGATGACTCAGTTCCTGCTAACAAGCCACATTAAAAGTATTAGTGGCCATACTTACATCTTAAGTAAAAATCGGGATATACGAAACAAAATGATATGATTCTAAAAATGCCTGATTGGTTCCAACAAGAGGAACCATAATCTCCTGGTGGACTTTGGCACCTTGGTTGCTCAAAGAGATGGCCGCTTGAAATATTGCGCGAACCTGCATTTTCGAAAGCTTGGGGTACGATATCCCGAGCCTGCCAAATTTGACAAAATAGTTAATTCCTATTTCTCTTTTTTTTTTTTTTCTTTTTTCTTTTTTTTTTCTATGTATATTTTTGCAAGTCATATACACATGAAGTTCACCTGCATCCCCGAAAACCGAGCATGGGGTTCACCTCAGACAATTTTTCAATCCGGGAGTAAATTTCTTCTTGACTCATGCCAGTATCGACCGTTAGTTCCCCAACAATCTGCTCTATATCGCCTTCCGGAAGGAATTCGTGAAGTGGAGGGTCCAAAAGTCTGATTGTTACAGGCAGACCTGTTTTCATGTTTCTCAAAGGTTTTCATTAAATGTCTTTCAGGCTTTATCTCATTCATAATCTGGTGAATTCGCAATTTAAGTCGTATAACTTGAGGGAAAGAAGAAAAATTAGTCGTGTAAAAATATAAGCTAAATTTTAGATCTACAAGATGAAGTTTGCAAACTAGTTCAGTAAGTACTTTGAAAATCTTTAAATTTTTGGTTGAAATCTGGAGAAACTCTTCAGCTAAGGCTCGTAAAACTTACCATGTGCTCCGTTCTACACAAACCAATCCCTTCAGCTCCATTATTCCATGTAGTGAGAGCATCTTCTGGTGTATCAACATTTGCCATAACCTGTTATTGTCCCCAAACAGAGAATTAGTTTTCCTAACTCGATAAAGAGAGAAACAAGGACTTCACCTAAAATACCTTAAGTCGCCTAAGCTCATAAGCCCACAACATGAAAATCTCCACATCCCCGGTCAAAGCCGGAGGAGAAAGTGCTTGTTTTCTCAAGATCACTTCACTAGTCGAGCCATTTAGAGAAATCCAATCTCCTTCATTCACCACTTTGTCCCCAATCAAGACCATCTACACCTCCAACAACAAACGAACAAGAAAGTATTATTTTTTTTGGTTTCACACAATAGCAGGATCACAACCGACATGGAGATTTAGTTTTCTTGGAATTTCAAATGAAATTATGCAAATTTATGGAGAATTGGTAATTACGACATGTTACATACTTGAATATAAACAGAAAAATTCATGCGTCAACACAAACTTCTCAACTCACCAGCTGCAGACCGGTTCTAGTCAGCATTTAGGTAAATTTCAAACAAAACTGAAGAAAATACGTGAATTTATAAGACCTTCTCCGAGTCGTTCACGCGTATTTCGGAACAACCCGAAACACAGCATTTTCCCCAGCCACGGGCAACAATGGTTGTATGGGAAGTCATGTCGCCTCTAGCTGTCAAGATCCCGACAGCTGCATGCATGCCCGTCTCGCACTGAAACTTAGCGAAGCTTAAAATGAATAATACATATTACACACATACATATTACATACAAATTCATGAATTTTAAAACATAAGAGGTGTGTAAAAATGTCCACTGCTCATGACCACGCTTGCCAAATCTTAACTATAAACATAAACTTAAAAGCAACATAAAATAAATAAACTGTACTTGTTTTGTACATTTTTGTTGTAAATTTGTGTATTTTTGAGTATTTTGTTTATGTGGTTTTTAGTTTATTTTTGGTCATTTTCGGTCCATTTGGTCGTTTTTCTTCATTTTTGTGTTTTTAAGTTGTTTCGGTATTTTTGGTATTTTTTTGTTGTTTTTTTATTATTTTGTAGGAAAATCGAGACTCAGAGAGTTGACGAAAATTATTCCCAGAAGTGCCGAAAATGTGCATGGAATCCGAGGGTTTTGTTCCAGGAAAAATCGGGCGCCGGACGATCTCAAATCGAATAATTAGCACAAGATGAGCGCCCGCTAAAATCGAGCCATGGTCGGAAACCTCGAAAGGACACAATTTTGCGCGAAAATGATCCGGGAAAATTTTATTCGAAAGAGGAGCTCGTTAGCGTCACATAGATAAAAAAAAGGAACTCAATTCGGAGTCCGGACGAGTGCAAACGAACCCAGAATGCGAAGTCGCGAGAAGCACGTTTTTGGTGTGTATTTTGGAAGCTTTGGGAGGACAGAATTTCAGGAAAATATTTGCTGGGATAGCATATTTAAATAGAGGGGTTCGTTGGCGAAGCGTAGGAAAAAACGGAACTCAATTCCGAGTTCGGACGAGCTCAAACGAGACCAAATCGCAAAGTCGTGCAGTGCAGCCTTCCAATTCGCGAACCATGCGCGGGGTTTATCATCTTGGACCCATTTTCTCCACTTTCTCTTCCACTAATCCGAAAATCATGCAACTTTTGAATTAATTACTCATAATGGGTTGATGATGAAGCATTAGAGCTTGTTTCATGGAAGTGGTGTGTAAAGAATGAATTAAAAATCATGAATTAGGCCATGGTGTTGCATTTTCCCCTATAAATAGCTCATTCATCACCTCACATTGATCATTCACCATATTCCTCACATTCTTATTCCTTTCTTCCTCTTCTTAAACACTTAAACTTGTCGGTAGTGTTTAAGAGAAGGAATTTTGGAGAAGTTTGTATTAGATTATTGTATTCGAAGTGTTCTTATTTCGGTTCGGTTTGTATTTATTTTCGACTTGGTGTAATCATTTTGTTTTGGTGTGATTTATAAGACTTCAATTATTTACTTGGAGTACTTGTGGATTGTCGGAATAGTATCAAGATTTGAGTTTTCCGGTAAGTTTTTACGATATTGTATGTTTAGGTCAAAGTTTGTATTTTATCGTTTTCAATCTATCGTTACTTGCTATAGAAGGTTAGAGACCTATTTTTAGGACCTTTCACTTTGTAGTAGCACCGATTTATTAACTACGAAGTTCTTTCGAGTTACAATCGGAGTTTTCGATATATCGATAACGCTAAGCTTAAGTTTTAATTTTTTTTTTATTTTAAGATAATATGGAATTAATTGTGGAACGATCTAGTTTGAAAGATTAAGACTTGATTAAAACTTAATCATTTCGTGTTAGAAGTCCCGTTTTTAAATCCCGATTATCTCAGTTATTTATTTTATTTTGTTTTGTCGTTTATAGTGCGTTTTTGGAAACTTTCAATTACTTATTTCTCTAGATTAAACCTGTTATTTACTTTATTCAATTTGTAGTTTTATTAAACTCTCAAACCAATCTCGATAGAACGTTTAGGATTTTTATTTTATCCTTTTTGTGTTTCAACAACTAGATTTAACGAGGCAACCGAACAGTCTTCCTTTGAGAACGACTCGAGGTCGGGTAACTCGATTACCACTTACCCAATATATTGCAAACAAAATGGCGCCGTTGCCGGGGAAGGCGATTAGGACGCCAAGTTATTTCTAGTTGTTATCTTTTTACGTGTTTCTCTTGCTTTATGTGCTCGTTTCTTAATTTCCGTTTTTCTCTTTATTTCTCTTTTTTTTTTTCTAGCTTGTAGTTTTTCTCTTGAGTTACCATTGGTGCTTGTCACGGGTTGGATTTTTGTTTTTGTTTATGCGAGGTCGGCGAAAGCGAGCGGTCGAAAAGGAGGATTTCTCGATCGATCCCCACATCGAAGGTGACGCAAACGAGACTCAATTCGAAGCGGGTTCCATGGCTAATCAAGAAGACCACGAGCCGCCCCCTCCACCAAACATGAGGTATTTTGCACGACCTATCATTGGAGACAACACCTCATGTCTCGTTCTTGGGGAAGCGGCTCAAATTTACGACCTCAAGGCCATCCACTTAAATCAATTACCACACTTTTATGGCCTACCACAAGAAGACGTGCTCAACTTCATTCGGGAGTTTTATGCCACCGTCAACACCTTCCCTTTACAAGGTCTCAACGAAAACCAACTCCGAATGCGATGCTTTCCATACACTCTCAAGGATCGAGCGAAGACTTGGTTCATGACTCTCTTGCCTAACTCCCTTACTAATTGGGAGATATATATGAGAAATTCATGGGGAAATATTACTCACACCAAAAGACAACTGATCTTCGGGCTCAAATGGCTAGTTTTAGCCAAAATTCGGGAGAAACCTTCCACGAAGCATGGGAGCGATTCAAGGGCTATCATCTTCAATGCCCACACCACCACTTTTGCCTCGGGATTTTAAATCAATTCTTCTACGATGGCCTACACCAACAATTACAATACATGGTGGATCATGCGGCCGGAGGAAATATCGGGAGCCACACGAAGGAGGAGATTTACGAGCTGTACGAGATGTTAAGTGAGAACTCACAAAGGAAGAGTGTTCGAAAGAGAGTTCCCATAAACGAGGCTTCACCATCATCCGACACTTCTTCTGATGCCGTTCTTGCAAAGTTAGCCTCGATGTAAGAAGAGCTCAAATATCTTCGATTGAGAGATTCAAAACCTACCCAAGCAGCCATGGTGGAGACGTGCGGGGCTTGTGGAGACATAGGACATGGAGCTCGAGAATGTCCAATGTATGTCGAGCCGGTGTACGACCCTAATCTTGAAGGGGTCCCTTATGATATCAATGCCATACAAGGATATGCCCCCCGGGTGCAAAATGATCCGTACTCGAACACGTATAACGCTGGATGGAGAAACCACCCAAATTTCTCCTGGAGGGACCCGAAGGCAAATTATCCATCTCAAGCGGCTCCACAACAAGCTTATGCTCCACAACAAGCCTATACTCCACAACAAGCATTTGTGCCCAATCAAAATCGGGCATTCCAACCACGGTCCAACTTTCAGAATTATCAACCAAGGCCCGAATTCCAACAAGGGCGCGGAGGATTCATTCCAAGGCAAACCATGCCACCTCCACCAGAGCCCGAGAAGGACACCGAGATGGAATCTTTGGAGGTGAGAATCGACAACATGGAGAAATATCTCCAAAATCTTGCTTCAATCGTGTCCAACTTACATGATGCGATCAAGGGCGTACCATCCATCCAAGCTTCCCTCAAGTGCCTCGAGGCACAAATGGGGCAACTTGGGACGTCGATTGGGGAAATTCAAATAAATAACAAAAAAGATCGACTCCCAAGCCAACTCGAGCACGCCCAAGCTGTGACGGTCCTACGAAGTGGAAGAAGAGTGGACAATCAAGTGGAGACACCTCAAGAAGTGATGGTCGAGGATGTCCAAGACAAAGAAGAAGAGGTGGAAACGAACCCCGGGAAGAACAAGAAGGTGATGGTCGAGGAGGAACCAAAGAAAAAATCAAATGACGATGATAACAAAACGTTGCACAAGTCGGCAACACCATACCGCCCGCCGATTCCTTACCCAAGCCGACTCCATGGTACGAAGAAAACCGGCAATTCAAAGACCTCTACAATATGCTATCCAAGGTGAATGTCAATCTTCCACTCTTGGATGTAATTCGCAATGTGCCGGCGTATGTCCATTTCTTCAAGGACTTAGCTTCCAAAAAGAAGAGATTCGAGGATAACGAGAAGGTGATGATTTCGGAGGTGGCCTCTACCACTATTCCTCGAAAAGAGTGTGACCCCGGGGGTTTTGTGATAAAGATTACCCTGGGGAATGGCAAGGAGACAAATGGTATGCTCGACTTGGGAGCGGACATCAATCTCATGCCATATTCAATTTTCCAACAGTTAGAACTGGGAGACCTCAAGCCAACAAGAATGTGTTTGCAGTTGGCCGACCGAACCATACGATACCCGAAGGGCGTTATTGAAGACATCTTAATCCGTGTGGGGAATTTGATCGTCCCGGCGGACTTTGTCGTCCTTGATGTTGGAGAAGTCCCAAACACCGGGAAAGAGCATACCCTCTTGCTTGGCCGTCCATTCATGGCCACTACAAACACGCTCATCAATGTCAAAGATGGACGAGTCACTTTATCGGCTCTCGGTAAAACGGTTACATTCACCATGAGTGACGCAAAGACCACTTCCTCTAATCATGGAAGCTGCTCTTATATTGATGCCATTGAGGAAGATGTACATGATTTGTTCCATGCTGAAGTTTCTTGTGAATGTGATATGGGTATTGATGAAGAAAACGACTCCAACGAAGGAGTAATTGATCTATTTGAGATTGCCAAAGAAGAGGGGCCATGTGAGATCTCCAGCGAGCTTAAGCCACTACCGACACATCTCAAATATGTTTTCCTTGAAGCTGGAGAATCAAAACCATCCATCATCTACTCGGGGCTTTCAAAGGAGGAGGAAAAGCTCCTTGTTGAAGTACTCAAGGCGAACAAAGAAGCTCTTGGGTGGAGCTTGAGCGACATAATTCGAAATTAGCCCAGCGACTTGCATGCATCGGATCATTCTTAAAGATAACTCTAAACCGATCCGGGAGGGCCAAAGAAGATTGAATCCAACTCTTATGGAGGTAGAGAAAGGGAAAATCCTCAATC